GAATAATCGATTAATCGTTTTTAAACATTTTAAATTTCCAGTGTACAGCACTCACATCAGAATAACTTATAGATTTGTTGTTAGAATAATCGATTAATCAAAAAAATAATCGTTAGATTAATCGATTAGAAAATAATCGTTTGGTACAGCACTAGGTGACAGGTAGATCAATACGGCTTGAGGTGTCATGCAAGTCGTAGGCTACAGTAGCGGTTTTAGCCAGGGTGTTAACGAGCCAGCGAGAACCAACTACTTCGGCTTGAGTATCAGTGACTTGGTGTTGAGGGGTTATAGTCATCGCYCATCTGGAATCTTTGTTTGCTGGTCTAAGGCCACAGATTCCAACGGTGTTATTGCGCACAAAGGTTTGCTCGGACAGAGATAATGGATGTCATGGGTGAGAGTGCACATGCGGAGGTTAGGCGCTGTCCTTGTGTCGTCTTCCCTCATGTTTGTCATAATCCTTGAGCCAGACTGTGACATTGTAATATCGTATTGTGATAAAGCTGGTGATTCACACCCCTCTTCCATACAGTAAATTTAGTGATGAGAACGAGTAGGGTCATACAGTYTTTTTGGAAACCCTTTACYGTCAGTTTCTGGTTTTCCTGCTCTGTGTGATTCAGAGGTGATAAATTGTGTTTTTATTTCAACATTAGGTGAAGTTTATGAAGATGGTAGCTGAGATGCAAGACCTCAGACGGGTCATCCGAATATTACCCATAATCAAAGAACACCTTTTCAACCCCGAAAACATGAGGTGAGCTCATTTTCAGCCTAAATAATTGACTTTTTCTTAAGTAGTTTCAGCACAGTGGACCTGATGTTTCAGATTTTCACCTGTTTTTAAAATGTTTTTGTGTTTTTGTTAATCTGTGGTGTTTGTGTTTCTGTATTTTTCACTTTGTGTCTCCAGGTGTGCGATCAATGCAACTCCTGAGAAAATGTCTGAATCAGCAGCACAGTTGGAGAGTTTTATAAAAAATGTTGCTGAAAACAAAAAAGAACGCAAACCTGTGAGAACAAATATTATTAAGGTAGGATTGTTCCAGTTAAGTCAGACGGCTTCCTCATTTAGAAAAAAAGAAAACAATTTGGTTCATTTTTATGTTTTTCCTGTTTTACAGAAACCTCTTGACCCTGTTG